AACAGACTGTTGTAGAACTGAGTGACATGCTTTTGAATTTCTGGTTGAGATTGGTAGATATGGCCATCCTCTGAGAGAAACCTAAAAATAGCATTGGTTCTCCTTCTGTGGATTGTGAGAGCATGGAAAAAGACAGTGTTAATATCCTCTCTTTGAGCTGAAGTGCTCGATATTTCTGTCTTCAGTAGCTTTCTTCTAAACCATAGGCCCCTTCTAGTTTATTTCTCATTTGTGTGAGGCTTGTTGACATCTGGATCGGCCCCAACCGGAAATAACCGGTTCGGTCATCTAAAATGGGAAGAGCTGCCTCCGAGGACAGGACTAGGTGAAGAGCAGGTAGCAGGTGCCGAGCTGGATAAAGATGAAAGTCGGTGGAGATGTTACGCATATTAATCGAGATCCGTGCTTATTGGACCTTGTCGGGATGCCGAACTCTCGAAGTGCCGAGCTGGTTGATGAATTCTCAAGACCCCAGGAAAGTTTACCGCCCGAGGGCCGATCTGAGGGTTCGAAGGGGGACGACCCGAGATCCAGGGTCGAAAACAGAAATAATATAATATCACCACTTGCTAGATAATGATATCTGATGGGACGTGCCGACCTAACCTACCATCCTAGAGGATCTAGCTCGGCAAAAAGAGCTGACAGCATTTAATGCAGCCCATTTGAGAATTAAATGCCAAGCCAGTAATGATTGGAGAAGTTCAAATCATATTTAATGACCTGTCAAAAAGGTGGCGACCGGAACTGCGGAAGTACAGTGCGACGAGACAGTGAACAGTGCCGGAATAGTGACATAAACTAACAAAAAAGAATGTGCGAGGTACTTACTCATTGTAGATGTCAATATCTGTTGCTTCAAATTTTTAAGAAGATGGAGAACGCGATAGAACACGACAGGGCATGGTGGAGTTCGAAAATTACTTGCAGAAGAATAAAAGAGGCACAAGAAAATCTAAGGTAAATTTCACAAAAGTGAAAAACTGAAAAATTTGGGTAAAATGGGTATTTATAGATGAAAAGGTGTGTAGGTTGATCAACTCTGACCGATGGGTCACGATCGATATCAATGGTGAAGATCTTGCAGGAGAGTTGAAAGGTCAGTTGAGTAGGATCATTAGATGTTGGCCGAAATCATCAACCAATATCAAAGGGGGTGAAGTCAAAATGGCAGATCACAAGGATTCATTGGATCATGGTCGTAACCAACAGTGGAGATTGGGCGGGTAGTTAAAAGAAAGTAGAAATTAAACTGTTGTACTAAAGGTACATCGAACGACCATCATTATGGGTACATTAACAAGTACATGGTACGGGGACAGTGTAAATCAAGGAGTGATGACATAGACAAAAGCGGTTATTTATTTGATCTGACAAAGAAACATGGGTTTGAATTTTGAAATTGAACTAAAGACCACAAGGAGAGGTCTAAGACTATGTGGTAGAGTAAACAGAAATGTGAGCAGGTAGGTCGAAAAATAAGAGTTAGAACCCACCAACTAAAATTATAGACAAGAAACTACTCTTAGATCGAGTTATCCTAACTCGACTAGATTTGGGGGGATCGGGGGACCAGATGATATAAGATACCACACCAGGTAATATAAACCCAATAAACTGGGTGACCAGGCTAGATTGACTGATTGGTCGAATAGAAGCACACGTGGATAAACCCACCTGACCAGCCAGTCACATGGTTAGGCAGTCTAGCAAGACAAACTACTAGATACGAAAGAATATTAACAAGATAAGGACCACACGTGGATGAGGCCACATGACCTAACAATAATGGGCAGTTTTGGCAAATCAAAAAGTGTGAACGGGCTGTCCAGGCAGTCCGAGCATCACACTAGAGAAGTCTAGGGCAACACGGTAACACTCCCTATAAAATGGAATGAGGTATGCCCTCTAGAACATTACATTATATGCACAATTACATATTGTTCATCTTCTTCTTCATTGTGCTAACTTAAGCATCGAAGGCTCTTCACCTAAAATCTCTGTGTTGAGTTTTGCAGGTCTTGAAGAACGATCTACCGGCGAGGAAACCAGACCAAGTCGAAACCGATCCGGCTGACCTGATTATGTTACTTTTTTTTTTAAAAAGAAATAAGAGCTCATGTATTCTACATTTTATTATGTTATTGCAATAATATGTATAATAACTTAATTAATTTATTTTACTAAACTCAATAGACAAAAAAAATTCATCACCAGGTGCATCACACATGCACTTTACTAGTACAATAAAAAGAATGAATATTAAAAGTAAGATTTATTGTAGCGTTTAAAGATTGAGATATATTTTAAAGGGTAAAAAAGTTTTCCCATCCAAACTATGACGATTTTCGCGCATCACCATATGAACTTTTTTTTAACAAACCACCACTTGATCTATACGGGTTTGTCAAA